TCGTCTACTTATACACATGTGGAGCCTGTAAGGCCTCCTATATTGGTGAAACCAAACGTCACATTAAAGTACGAGCATGTAAACACATGGGCATATCTATAAAAACAGGAAGAAAGGTTAAAATCCCTCCCAACACCGCTGTCTATCAACACAATAAACAGCACATCTGATATATATCTCAAACTTTAAAATTTTTTCAACAACCAAACTGAACTTCTAATAAAAGAATCGTTAAAAAATTCTTCATTTGTTTTAAATCTGTTTTAAGTATTTCATTTGTGCCACACTTTTTTTCATTTTTCTTGTTATATATTCATATTGTTTACTTCTTATGTATATCATATTTATGTTGTAATTACAAATATTGTTTGTTTGTTTTTTACCTCTAGATTACTGATGATGGAATTTTGATGATTCCGAAACGTTTAATAAATGCTTCCTATTATCACGTTCGTGTTTTGCTTGATCATTAAATTACGTTTTTCCAAAATTTAATCGATTACTAAATTTAATCCTTGCTGATCGCTATCTACGTGAAGATCCACAGTAATATAATCCAGAGTTGTCAATACATATAATCCTTGCTGATCGCTATCTACGTGAAGATCCACAGCAATATAATCCAGAGTTATCAGTACATATAATCTTTGCTGATCCCTATCTATGTGAAGATCCACAGTAATATAATCTAGAATTGTCAATACATATAATCTTTGTTGATCCCTATCTACGTGAAGAGTCACAGCAATATAATCCATAGTTGTTACTAATTATAATCTTTGTTGATCCCTATCTTACAAATACATATTCAAACCACAAAAACTGAAGAATCCAGTTCTGAAAAAATACAGATTTACTGACAACTAACACATATCCCTGAGTTATTGCAAGTTTGTTTAAACCCATATGTATTTAGGGAAAAAAGACCTAGACCTTTAAAGTTGTGGAAAATTAACAAATATGAGAAATTATATTACATCAGAAGTGGTGTTTTGCGGTAAAAACCAGGATTCGTCAAAATCTAAAGAAAAAATACGAAAACAAATCTGGGAAAATGTTTAGCCTGTAGAAGCAGATTTATCTAAAATTTAGTCCCAACAAGAAATAGGCTAACTCGACAAAGTATTAGTACAGGTTTAGTGGATCGAAAGTGTTTGTCACCAGACGACATAACCACCTAGTTTAAGACAGGTATGCCTACGAACAAAATTGCAGTGTCGGTTCAATAACACGCGATGCTTCTTTATATTCATAACTTCAGTTAGTTTCATTCCAAATTTATAATCCTCGATTTAGTAATATTCTAAGTTTCTGGTTCTGACTTTGCAATTATTCTAGACAAGTTTTACTAAAGTAGAACGATCTAACACAGAATTTGACCAATGTACCATATTTTATAACTTTGGGAAGATAACGCCGTAAAGATAATTTTCCCTACAGATAACTTACTAAGTTATAACTTACATGGCAAAGTTCCAAGAATATTTTATCAAATAAGACTCTCTCTCTCTCTCTAAGAAATAATAAGGAAGATACAATAAAAGAAAATGTGAGCTGAATTTCATATTATTTCTTGTGACCAAAGGCCTCTGGTTCGAGCATTGTCGAGACCACAAGTATTTCTTTGCTTTACTTAACATGTGATTCAATTCATTTATGTTTTGCCTTAACTTCAAATTGTAGTTAAATTTTAAAACATATTTTCTCTTATTAACTCCGAAGTGTTTGACAAAATTATTCTCTGTTTGTCTTTAATGTTCAACTTCACCGGATGTGGAATAGAAGATTTACGTGGGACAATCAGGATTAATATAAAAGATACACCCAGAGTTTCCTACTGTAAGGATAGCCAATTATTTCTCTCTGATGGGGGTAGTCAGATAGCGATAGGCCACACCCATCTTCGGATTTAAAAGAGTTGGGCGGAGGCGTCTTAGACTATTGAGATAGACATAGTATTTCCAAAGAAAACCTTGTATTGGTGAAAGTACAACTGTTCTGGTAACGGCGAACTGAATCGTCATATAGTGCTCTAAGTGTCCAGTACATATAGGGTAAGTCAAGCAATCAGTAAAATATTCTGAATATACATAATTCTTTGTGCACATTGGTGTATAAACGACATTTTAAGTAAACGACAATTAGAGAAAATTAACAAATTTTGATGTTTTAAAGTCGAATATTTCAAGTATTAAAATGACTGAATATAAGGTTTAAGTTAGGATCTAGCACTAAGATCTTTTGATATTAATTTTATCATTATTATTAAACCGAAATGATACAACGTCGATTTAGCCTAAGGTTTAATACGTAACAGTTATATATTTCATAATACTATGACATGAAGTGACCATTCAAAAGCTTTATTTTTCATTTTGGAAACCAACTGCAAACGTAACTAGTCTAATTATAAGGTGTACAACGAAACACGTAGGCCCGTAATCATGATGTAGCCATTTTTTGTTTTTAGTCACGTGGTCGACTAGTAAATCTGATTAATATGTTGAATGACAGGAAATAATACCTTTATATAAAAAGAAATATGTTTTCACAATACTTTTTTCAGATCTACAAAGACCGTTTATTGCCTTTTTGATTATTGTTGGTTCTGGAATGATCGTTATTATTTTGTTTAAATGTACAATACCCGCTTGGTACACTTTTTATTTTGTTTAAATGTACATTAACCGTTTGATACTCTTACGTCTCTCTGTTCGTTTGCTAATTTCCTTTCTTAAATAAAACTAGTTTATTTTTTCTCAATACAACTTTGCGATACACTTAATTTCCACAGTCACTTTCACTTCAACACACGCTATGATTCACAACGATTCACCCACTTTACTTACGACTTGATGGATTATCTGTCTCCCTATCTCTCTCCGTCTGCTATCCAATTAATTATCTCACTTTATTTGCCGCGCTTATATATACAATATTAGAGGGCGTCTAGAATGCACTCGCCTCTTCATGAACCTTCTAGACACTTATCACGTGTTACCAGGGTCACCTGACCTCCGCTTTTTTTTACACCTTTTTATCATATTTGGTAAGATTTTTTTATCCTGTTTCTCTTTGGATTGTTTCGGTTATTCTTATTCGCGCACAGCTATTTAAAGGCTATCTGGGATAGCCGTTAACAATTTTTGTACTGATACCTACTGTTGCGTCAGCGAGGTCACGTGACTAGTATCACGCCACCTGTTTCGAGAAATATCCTGTTCCTTCAAGAATGCCCTGGCAGTTACTAGATATGTGTTAGTCTTGTATATATATAAGACGTTCACAACGTGATGGGACAACAGTGTAATGAGTAATTGAATGTATGCGGACAAAATATTGTTGGCCACGTGAGACGTGAATTATAGTGTTTGTTATAGAGCGACTGTTGAAATTAAGTGTATCGTAAAGTTGTATTCGGAAAGAATAAACCAGTTTTATTTAAGAAAGGACTTGTGTCGCTAAAGTTTCGTCGGAACGAATTTACGGAAAATTAACTGACGAACAGAGACGTAACACTACCATGAATGCAGTTAGTCAAAATAGTCAACCATCAAATTTTGGACTACACTGATCGAATAGTGGGAATTTACCTTTTCCGTATAACTTATCTATGGGCTGAAAGTGTGTAAAGTACAGTTTGTGTTGTTGATATTATTTTTTGTGTGGCAATAGGACGCAAACCCTCGGTTTTACACTTAAGAACGTTATATGTAGGCCTCCCGCCCTTTCTTGTTCCGATCTATAATACATGTATTAGTTTCATATTTTACCTTTCGTATTTCGATGAAGAATGTACGTTTGATATTATTCTTATCTTCTTTTACTTGAATCTCTTAAGCTGACCAAAGTATCATTTTCAACTTTTTATTTCTTTGTTGCATGCTTTGATTTCTTACAACAAACTTGTCTCTTCTGTTTTTCAAACATTGTTTCATGTGTGAATTCTTACAAATATTTATCTCCTCTTTTGTTGCACGTGTCAATTATTATAGTAAATCTTTTCCCTTCTCTTTTTTCTTTTCAGCACTGTTTCACGCAAGATTTAAGTAACACAATAGGATGTGGAAAACAATAACTATTCTGGTCATAGGTATGAAATGATTCTATATCCATCTTTTAAAATATTCTTTAGATTTCTCTATTAAGACAGTTACAGTTGTTTACTGGTTTTACTTAGGATCTGATTAACTTGCAAACATGGTCAGAAGATTAAATTTTGGATTTAGTTTTGGCAATGTTTATATCGTATTTTGAAAACAATGATTGTTTCTCATTTTTTAAAACCTTCTATCCTAAATAGCAGTAACAGCTTCAGTAGGTACAACAAGAAGTAAACAAAGGTCAAAGGGAGAAATTGAAGATGAAGAGCCCAAAATGGTAGAATTTCTTCTTATACAATGCATCTCATCTGACTCCACTTCATATTTAATTGTTATTATTATTATTATTACTCATCATATATAAAAAACGAGGCAACTTGTATTTCCATTATTATTATCTTTCAATATATACCATTTGTTGAAATTCTTAAATGTATGATTTTACTGGTACTGAAAACTTGAAATCACTGATAATGTTTGTCTTGACTGTACCATTGTGTTATTCTAAAGAACTGGTAATGAATGTCTTGACTGTACCCTTGTGTTATTCTAAAGAATTAGTAATGATTGTCTTGACGGTACCCTGTGTTATTCTAAGGTGTGGTAGAAGAACCATAACTGGTAATGATTGTCTTGACCGTACCCTGTGTTATTCTAAGGTCTGGTAGAAGAAACATAACTGGTAATGATTGTCTTTACCGTACACTGTGTTATTCTAAAGAACTGGTAGAAGTACCATAATTGGTAATGAATGTCTTAACTGTACCCTTGTGTTATTCTAAGGTCTGGTAGAAGAAACATAACTGGTAATGAATGTCTTGACTGTACCCTTGCGTTATTCTAAAGACTGGTAGAAGAACCATAACTGGTAATGAATGTCTTGACTGTACCCTTGCGTTATTCTAAAGACTGGTAGAAGAACCATAACTGGTAATGAATGTCTTGACCGTAC